GTGTGTGTGTGTGTGTGTGTGTGTGTGTGTGTGTGTGTGTGGGTGTGCGTGTATGTGTGTACGTGTGTATGTATGTGTGTGTGTGCGCGCATGTGTGCGTGTGCGAGCGCGTGTGCGTGGCAGTGTGCTTATGCGTGTTTTCGTGCGTGTGTGTCCGCGTGTGTTAGTGAGTGAGCGTGTTAGTGCGTGACCGTGTTAGTGAGCGTGTGTATGCGTGCGTGCGTGCGTGCGTGCGCACATGCGTCAGTGTGTCGGGAGAGTAACTAGGAAAAGCGCGTGCTGGAATATTACGAGTGAAGGTAGAGAGAGACCTAGCCTGCCGCCGTGATCGGTCCACTAGCGTAGCTCGCACACCTACCTGTACTGACTCGGTTCGTTCGCATGTGTGGCGCGCAACTTTGTTAGCAAAACTCTGATAATGTTGCACAGAAAAGCCATGTTGATCTGCAAATAAAGGCACAACGTAATTTATACTATAATTAATGTGCTATTACATATATATATATATATATATATATATATATATATATATATATNGAGAGAGAGAGGGAGGGTGAAAGAGACGCAGCGAGAATGCAAAGAATCGATGAGGCAAATGGCTGTCTGGGATTAGTTTTATATGCGTATTTATCGCGTCATTTAGCTCTGATTGAGTTCATGACGATATGCCTTGTCACTGCGACACGCACGCGCACGCACGCACGCACGCACGCACATACACACGCACGCACGCACGCACATACACGCGCACGCACGCACACCTGCCGTCTACTACACGACGTTATACGACACACAATAGAGCTACGTAGATGTTGTACTGCTATGTATGTATGTATGTATGTATTGTATGTATGTTATGTATGCTATGTATGTTATGTATGTATGTATGTATGATGTATGTATGTATGTATGTATGTATGTATTGGTATGATATGTATGTACGTACGTACGCTACGTACGGTACTGTACGTACGTACGGTATGTATGTATGTATGTATGTAGTGTATGTATGCTATGTATGTATGTATGTTAATGTATGGTATGTTGTAATGATATGTATGTATGTATGTATGTATGTATTGTATGTATGTATGGATGTAATGTATGTTATGTATGTATGTATGTTATTATGTATGTATGTATGATATGTATGTATGTATGTATGTATGTATGTATGTATGGTTGATGACAACGACACGTCACGTCATGGTCGCATACATACATACATACATTGTCCGCAGGCAGCTGCAGTGTCACCGCATCACGCTGCACAAGAATCTATTCTTCAGCTTCGTCTGCAGCGGAGTGACAATCATCGCCTACGAGACTGTGATCATGCACGACACGATCACGAGTCCGGACCCCATCAAGGATCGAAACAAGGTGCGGACAATGACGACGACGATGACGACGACGATGACGATGATGATGACAATGATAAAATCGACGACGACAATTTTGAAGATAACGCGACAACGACGACGGTGTCGATCACAGTGACGACCTTGACGGTTAATAAGTTGGTTAAGGTGACAATAATAATGACGATGATGATGATCACGACGACGACGACTATGATGATGATGATGATATCGACGACAACAACAATGATGATGATGATGATAATAATGATGATGATGATGATGATGATAACTTTAGTGTTTATGAGGTAAGATGATGATGATGAAAAAGAAGAAGAAGAGGATCATATATAGCATATATCACCTCATGCTTTGACCACTTGCCCCGCATTCTATTTGTACGTCAACATGTGCGTAATTTCCTTTCAGCACTCTACCTGTCAGCGCACAATGTTAAATGATATTGCCTCGCTCTCATCGTGTCAATTAACAGGTGTTATTTGCGCGTTATTAAAAGGAAGGAAGACCCTTGTACTTTCATGACACGGGCGTCAAAACTAGCCTACCTGTTAATTACTTCTCTCACCCACTACAGGTGCACGCACACAGACACGGTCTTTATATTATATATATAATAATATATATGTGTATATATATATATATATATATATGGCTGATAATATTACTGCTCGTGTCAGGCTGGTTGCAAGATCATCATGATTCTATCGAAGTACTTTCGCATCACCAACTACATGTGGATGTTCTGTGAAGGCTACTACTTACACAAGCTGATCGCGTCGGCCTTCCACGAGCAGAAAAACCTCGTCGTATTTTACCTGATCGGATGGGGTGAGTGTCGCTACAGCAAGAGGGGGAGGGGAAGGTAGCGTAGAAAGGTGTGGAGTAGGAGGAAGGGAGGGGAAAGAGGAGGGGAGGGAAAGGAAGAAAAGGAGGAGAGGAAATGTATGTAAAAGGCTGAAGGTAGGTATAGTTAGAGGGTGAATGGCAAAGAGAGCGGAGAAGAGAGAAAGTTAGAGGAGGACGGGCTGAGAGTAGGAACGTGATGGTGCGAGGAAGGAAAGGCAATGATCGAGGAGGAGGGGTGGGAAGCGTTAGAGGGCACTCGTGAAAATCACACTTGATTGCTAAGTAACCAGAGAATTCGTGTGGGTAGCATGTTTCCCTGCCACAGGTAATTAGTTACCGCGGTCAACGTATGTGTGTGTGTGCATGCGTGCGTGCGTGAGTGAGTGCGTGTGTGCGCGCGTTTATATACGCATGTATGTATGTATGTATGTATGTATGTATGTATGTATGTATGTATGTATGT